GATTATGAATTTGTTGTGGAATGATGAGACCAAACAACATTCCTGGGTCAGCCAGAGACAGTTTTATTTTGCAAGGTTCAGAGCCAGTTTTGTACCTGAAGCTTTGAACAAGGAGAGAACTCTGATACAACTGGTTTTATACATTTCTAAGACAAAGGATTCAGTGAGATCATACATTTTCCATATATGGTTAACATGAGATCATACATCCGATTTTCCCTATATGGTTATATACATTGGATAATATGTTCATCTAATTATTTAAACCATTAATTTTAGTTTATAAAATTATTTTAGCCACACAACTTTTCCTTAAGTGCTCGTAGTTGTTAATGGGAGAGTTACTGCTGTCCTTGGGTAAATTTATTGGATTAAGTAACTCTTTGTAACATATATGTCTTTGTGTCATTCATAGTGAGGTCACTCAGATGTTTTCCATATGGCTGTCCTTTCGTGACATCTAGGTCTCAGAAGATATATTACCACTTAATGGGGTTTAACTGTTTGTTAATGTAATTTCCAACGAGCACTTTTCTATCTTATAATAATGTGAATAGAGAGATTCTCTCAGAGTTCATGTATCCAAGCACGTCTTCCCCTTATAATAATGTGAATAGAGAGGGTCCTCCAGAGCCCATATATCTGACTCTGTATGATTCCTATTTTATTCACATTATTTCTTTTATCTACATTAAATTAGGAATAAATATCAAAATAAAAGTTCTCTGTGCATGGATATTTAGCTGTTCAGATACCACAACAGTCAAAAAAACGCCATAATAATATATTTTTTAAAAAGATCCCTTAATGTCTCATAGGGAAGAGGTGGAATACAGACTAAATAATATATCTGAGGCCTGATTGCCTGAGACCTGTGCAAAGAGGTTTTCCCGAAAGCTGCAATTTGCAAAGCACAGTAGGGGTGCAGCAATCTCTCCGCAAAGTACTGAAGCGATGGTGTCTTTTTGAAGGCCACCTATGGCTTCAAAAGGGGTTCTCGGCAGTCCATAGATGAAGGCACATACCCGCCAGGAGTGATGGGAGCCCCAGCAGAGCAGAGCAAAGTCGCTGCTTACGCATTCGAAGGGCTAATGCTTCGCTCCCGGCTCATGCATTTTGCAAGGGCCTTCTTTCGTCGCAACTGAATAAAAGTATCCGACTCCTTTGTTTACTTTTTTTTTTTTTAATTTGATTTATATGCCGCCCTTCTCCGGAGACTCAGGGCAGCTTACAGTGCGTTAAGCAATAGCCTTCATACTTTTGTATATTTATACAAAGTCAGCTTATTGCCCCCACAAACTGGGTCCTCAATTTACCTACCTTAGAAAAGATGGAAGGCTGAGTCAACCTTGAGCCTGGCGAGATTCGAATTTGCAGTAATTGCAGGCAGCTGAATGTTAATAACAGGTTATTAGTCTGCTGCGCCACCAGGCTCTTCCATTTGATTCATATCTTGTTTTTTTTAACAGATTAACAGAGTTGGAAGCAGAGGTGGGTTTCAACAGATTCTGACCAGTTCTGGAGAACTGGTAGTAAATTTTTTTAAATCCCACCACTGGTTGGAAGGGACCATGTAGGTTATCCAGTCCAACCCCCCTTGCCCAAGCTGGAGACCTACACCATTTCTGACAGATGGCAGTCCAGTCTCTTCTTGAAAGCTTCCAGTGATGAAGCTCCCACAACTTCTGAAGGCCACTTCTGTTCCATGGGTTGACTGCTCTCACTGTCATAAAGTTCCTTCTTATTTCTAGGTTGAATCTCTCCTTGGTCAGTTTCCATCCATTATTCCTTGTCTGGCCTTCAGGTGCTTTGAAAAATAGCTTGATCCCCTCCTCTCTGTGGCAGCCCCTCAAATATTGGAAGACTGCTATCATATCTCCCCTGGTCCTTCTCTTCTCTTCACTAGACTAGCCATGCTCAATTCCTGCAACCGTTCATCGTATGTTTTATCCTCCAACCCCCTAATCAACTTGGTTGCTCTTCTCTGCACTCTTTCTAGAGTCTCAACATCTTTTTTATATCGTGGTGACCAAAACTGGATGCAGTACTCTAGGTGTGGTCTTACTAGGGCTTTACAGAGTGGTATTAATACCTCCCTTGATCTTGATGGTTTTCCTTCAGAGATGCCAGGCGACAGATTTAACACTTTCTCCACCAATTCCAACCCCCCCCCCCCACCAAGCTTGATGAAAAGAGAATCACACCAAATGGTCCAATCTGCTGGCTGAGACTGGATTCAAGTTTGGCTGGTTCTCATCAGCAACTTCATTGTTTCGCCCTACAATTTTTGGGAAAGTTTTCCCCCTTTTAATGCTGTTGGAAGACATATCCTTCTGGGTTCAGTTCCAAGTGGGGAAAAAAGACACTGGAAACATGGAGACTGCTTGGAAAGATGGTTTAATGGTGGACAGGAATTACATGGCTTGAGTTTCTGAGCAGAAAAAGGGCAGGGATGCTCCAAAAGCCAGAGAGTCCCTGGGTTTTATACCCTTTCTGGCTTTGAACTTCCTGGGGCACAGGAAGAGTATCCTAATTGGTTGCTGTCAGAGGTCATAGCTAGACTTGCTGGTTGATGTAAATTCCCAGGTGCCCATGTGGGGAGTTTCTGTTGCTAGATCCTATTGCTAGATCCTCTCCTATCTGTTGCTAGTGTAGGAAGTTAGCACCCACCCCTTTCCTAGAAGAATGAAATATTTTAGGAAATATTAAAAAGGCAGAATATTATGTTTCTCTGGATGAGAAATGGAGAAACATGTTTTAAAGACGAAGCAGCTCCCACCTTCTTGCACCTCCACCCTTTATCAATGGGCCAGAGGCAGAAACTCAATTCCCTCCCATCTTTGTCAATGGACCATCATCTGCAACACAATAGGACCCATTTAGCAACAGAAACTAACACAATAGGACCCATCTAGCAACAGAAACTCACCACATGGCACCTGGGAAGTTTACATCAGCCAGCAAGCCTAGCTGAGACCCCAGTTTCTGCTTCTCTGAGTTTCTACTTCTCCTTTAAGGGAAATATTCTGCCTTTTTAGTATATCCTAAAATATTTCATTTTCCTAGGAGAGGGGTGGGTTTTAACTTCCAACAATGCAATAATGGAATGTAAATTGGAAAGATTGGAGAGAGAGTCCATTTCTTGATGAAGCAGAACCACCAAGATTTGTGGTTCTGGGGCAGCTGACCAAATGGCTGAATAGATAGATAGATAGATAGATAGATAGATAGATAGATAGATAGATAGATAGATAGATTGAATTCTTTATTGGCCAAGTGTGATTGGACACACAAGGAATTTGTCTTGGTGCATATGTTCTCAGTGTACATAAGATATATTCGTCAAGAATCCTAAGGTACAACACTTAATGATAGTCATAGGGAAACAGTCAATATAAATCTTAAGGATACTAGTGTTGGAAGAAACATCCTTCTGGGTTCTGCTCCAAGTGGGGAAACAGACACTGGAGACATGGAGACTGCTTGGAAAGATGGTTTAATGGTGGACAGGATCACATGGCTTGAGTTCCTGAACAGAAAAGGGCAGATACAGTAGATCCTCGGGTTTTTATGCTCTCTCTGGCTCTGCATTTCTTGGGGCCCCGAAAGAGTATCCTGATTGGTTGTCAGACTCCCAGGGGGTGGGGGCCTTGCTGGCTGATGGTCACATGTGCTTCCCAGGTCACATGTGGTGAGTTTCTGCTGCTATTGTGTAGAGGGCTAATCCTATCTTTGTTGGATCTTTGGCAATTCCTAGTATGGCTCTGCCTGAAGGAGGTAGATCTTTGTTATGTAGAGTAGACTGGCCCAGGTCTTAATGGCCCATTGACAAAGGGTGGGGGGCAGGAAGGTGGGAGCTGCTTTGTCTGTAAAATATGCTTCTCCATTTCTTATCCAGGGAAATATAATATTCTGCCTTTTTCATATTTCCTAAAATATTTCACTCTTCCAGGAAAGGGGTGGGTGCTAACTTCCTACACTAGCAACAAGGTTACAGTTATGCAGTCATAAGTGGAAGGAGATGGGTGATAGGAACGATGAGAAGATTAATATTACTGCAGACTTAGTAACTAATTTGACAGTGTTGAGGGAATTATTTGTTTAGCAGAGTGATGGCATTCGGGAAAAAACTGTTCTTTGTGTCTAATTGTTCTGATGTGCAGTGCTCCATAGTGTCGTTTTGAGGGTAGGAGTAGAAACAGTTTATGACCAGGATGTGAGGGGTCTGTAGATATTTCCACAGCCTCTTTTTGACTTGTGCAGTATACTGGTCCTCAATGGAAGACAGGTTGGTAACCATTGTTTTTTCTGCAGTTCTAATTATCCTCTGAAGTCTGTGTCTGTCTTGTTGGATCTTTATAGTTTCCGTAACTTCGAAGTTTGGGATTTGTGCAATAGGGGCTTTGTGTTTCTAAAGGATGTCGGCAATTCCTAGTGTGGCTAATGGTCTTTCGTCCTGCGTCGGATCTTGGGTGAGGGGCTGCTTGTTCTAATCGTACCATTCTGCTTTTGTTAGCTGTCAAAACTTTGCTGCAAGTTTTAAAAGAAGACAGAGAGGGTTTTTAAAAAAATCCTGCATGCAGCAAATACTGGAAAAAAACTAGATAGAACCACGAAAAAAAAAACCTGATTTCAAGGTTTTTCCTGCGGACCCAGCTTCTGGTTCTGCTTACTTTTTCCACTATTTGCTGGGTGCGCAGGAAAAAAACCCCAAAAACCTTGAAATCAGCCTCTCTTTTTTTTGTGTATGTGCTGGTTGCTTTTCCCACTTATTTGCTGCCTTCAGGATTCCCTCTGCATGCTCTTCCATGCTCCAAGACAGGCGCCGTTCCACTAGGATCCGCCAGGGGCACTCGCGCTCCAGACCCTCCTACCCGCCCTCTCGGCCGGAAGAGGAGACTCTCTAGGCTCCGGGCGGACGCCGTAAAAACGGAGACGGTGAGCGCGTGCGCTTGCGCAGGCTGGCGTCGGGTTCCTCGGACTTCCGGCAGCCGGAGCGAGGCCGAGGGGGCAGGGTCTCTTCCCTCACCCTCCCCGCTCTTTTTTTTTTTTTTTTTGAAATAAATAACTTGAGGAGAAGAGGAAACGCTTTCGGGATTGACCCTCTCCGGCCGCCGTGCCTCGGTTTCCCTACGCGGGGTGGGGGGAGCGGGAGGCGGCGGCGGCGGCGCCATGGCTGACGCGGCGGCGGCCGCGACCCTCTCCGAGTCCGGCTGGTAAGTTTCCTGAAGCCGGGAGGTCTCCGTGCCCGGCTGGGGAGGTTGTCTGCCGGGACGGTTCGCTCTCCGGACGGCCGGTGTCCTGGCTCCGTGGCCGCGAGGGCCGCCGCCCGCTGGAGGGGGAGGGAGCGGGTGGCTCCTTCCTCTGCGCGAGCGGGAGGTCAGCGAAGCTAAGCAGGGTCGGCCCTGGCGCGTCCTTGGATGGGCGACCACCCCGAAAGGCCGCCTTCCTCGCTGATGAGGATGAAACCGTGTTGTGGTTTTAGACACACACACAAACACCCCCCCTCCCCAATGTGTTGTGTTTCTGGGCCGTTTCTGGTTTCTCCCATAGTTGCATCCCAGAAAGTCTTGCAGTACACATGGTTGCTAGCAGGATAAGCCATCAGTTGCATCCTGGGACTGTGGGGATGGGAGACCACGGGGAGATGCAGGGGGGAGGGGATTTATAAAAAGAAAAAAAAAAGGATTCTCGGAAGAAGGCGGGATGAGAAAATAAAATATAATGACAGGGCCAAATGCGTGTTGTTAATGTGGGTCGCACCCTTTCCAGTTGTGTTGCATTTTAATATATAATATAATAATATAATAATACTACAATATAATATAATATAATAACCAAATAAATGTTAATATGGGTTGCACCCTTTCCAGTTGTGTTGCATTTTCTAGAATATAATATGTAATACCATACAATATAATATAATATACTAGAGCCAAATGCGCGTTAATGTGGGTTGCGCTCTTTCAAATTGTGTTGCATTTTATACAATACAACAGAGCCAAGTGCATGTTAGTGTGTGTTGCACCCTTTCCAGTTGTGTTGCATTTTCTAGAATATAATATGAGCCAAATGTACGTTAATGTCTGTTGCACCCTTTCAACTTGTGTTGCATTTTATATAATATTGGCCTTCCGAAAAGTGGTGAAGACCTGGCTTTTCCGGCAGGCCTGGGGCCGTTGATCTTGCTCTTGTGATCCGGCGAGATCCGGCCATGAATGGTGTGAATGAGTTTTGATGTTTTTAATTTTTAAATGTTTTTTATAATGATTTTAAATGCATTGTGAGCCGCCCTGAGTCTTCGGAGACGGGCGGCATACAAATTGAATGAATAAATAAATAAATAAATAAAATAATAGAGTCAAATGCATGTTGATGGGTGTGTTGCACCCTTTCAAGTTGTGTTGCATTTTATATGACACAATAACTGAGCCAAATGCAGGTTGATGTGTGTTGCACCCTTTGTGTTGTGTTTTCAATTTCAGAGCCCCCCGGCGCTACGCATTTTTAAACAACGTTTTAAACGTTCGCCTCCTTGTCCAAATGGCTTTTGATTTACGGGTGAGGATTTGCGATAATGGAGCCAAACAAGAGGCCCTGATGCACCAGGCCTGCATCCAACCTCTGGGACTCACCAAATTGCTAAAAGCTTTCAGGACCTACTTTAAACGGCTATGTAAACTGAAAGCTTTCAGCCGAATGCATCTTTTCCTGGGATGGCAAGGAAGGGAGCGGCCGTCCTGGGAAAAGCAACACGTCTTTCAATGATGGAGAAAACGTGTTTATTGGCTTGGGTGTCTTTAAAAATCCATATATTTTTGTATCCTGGAGCTGGGGTGGGAGACCAAGGGGAGATGCCAGGAGAACTTTTAAAAAGAAAAAGGATTCTCAGAAGAAGACGGGACGGGATAATCAAATATAATATAAGAGCCTTGGTGGCGCAGTGGACTAAGTGCTGTTAAAGTAGCACTTAGCTGCCAGCTGCCTGCAATTACTGCGAGTTCAAATCTCACCAGGCTCAAGGTTGACTCAGCCTTCCATCCTTCCGAGGTAGGTAAAATGAGGACCTGGATTGTGGGGGCAATAAGCTGACTTTGTATAAAAAGGAACACGGCTTGGGGGGGACCGAAAGCCCTACTAAGCAGGTATATATAAAAGTATGAAGGCTATTGCTTAATGCATTGTGAGCCGCCCTGAGTCTCCGGAGAAGGGCGGCATATAAATCAATCAAACAAACAATAAATAATACCAGAGCCAAATGCAGGTTAATGTAGGTTGCACGTTTTCTAGTTGTGTTATAATGTACTACAGTTATCAAGCAACCAATGCACTGATTGTATATGTGTGTATATATACTGTATATAAATATGGACACACATACAAATACGATCAGTGCATCAGTATATAAAGCAGAGTATAAACCTCTGCTTTAGTGTTTGTGTGTATGTGTATGTGTAATATACAGTAGACATCTCTTTTTTGATATCTCGGACAACCACCTCTTTTTTAAAAAATAAGTGCCAGAAGTAATGCTCACACTATAACAGTTTTATAAACTTTTAAAAGTCAAAACAAAATTTAACTGTGGTGTACATCACCTTGAGAGACCCTTACTTTGAAGCCTGGTGTACATTTTTAATTTTTTTAAAAAAAAATTAGATATATGGTTCTGTCTACGTTTTCTCCGATGAACTTGGAATCTTCACAATGATTTTTAAAAAATTTTTGTTGTCATCAGCGCTGCCAAAATCGGATACTCTTCAGTTTTTATTGGCTTCGGGGCATTTATAAGTATTAAATTTTGCCGGTTTCATCTCATTTTTCTCCTTTCTGGGGCAGAGTTGGCTAAACCCCTCCTCATACAAACAGTGAACCTGATCAGTTTGGCAAAGTAACTATAAATGGGTAATATGTCAGAAAAAGCTGTGTAGCTTCTCTGGATTAAACATCTTCCCCAGAAACAAAGACATTAGTGAAGTTACACTAGATTACACATTAACAGAGTTGGAAGGGACCTTGTAGGTCATCTAGTCCAACCTCCTGCCCAAGCAGGAGACCCTACACCATTTCTGACAGATGGCAGTCCAGTCTCTTCTTGAAAGCTTCTAGTGATGAAGCTCCCACAACTTTTGAAGGCAACTTCTGTTCCATTGGTTGATTGTTCTCACCGTCAGAAATTTTTCCTTATTTCTAGGTTGAATCTCTCCTTGATCAGTTTCCATCCATTGTTTCTTTTCTTGCCTTCGGGTGCTTTGGAAAATAGGTTGACCCCTTCCTCTCTGTGGCAGCCCCTCAGTTATTGGAAGACTGCTATCCTGTCTCCCCTGGTCCTTCTCTTCACTAGACTAGCCAGGCCCAGTTCCTGTAACCGTTCTTCATATATTTTAGCCTCCAGTCCCCTAATCATTCTAGTTGCTCTTCTCTGCACTTTTTCCAGAGTTTCAACATCTTTTTTATAGTGTGATCAAAACTGGATGCAGTATTCTAGGTGTGATCTTACTAAAGCTTTATAGAGTGGTATTAGTACCTCACTTGATAATCAGTAGATATTAGTATCATCCATTTATAACTGCTTATATTTTTATGCGGAACTTTAAATCCAGCAGTGCAACTCCATTTCACGTGGCATTATTTGTTATAGCTAAATAGCTGTCAAATTATTATATAAAATGTTATTAAATATATAAATATTATCCATAAATGGCTCAGAAATAGTAGAACAAATCATATTTTTGTTTGAGCGATGTATAGCTCTAACACTGAAACATAAACTAGTTTTTAACTGTCTTCTTGGATTAAGAAAGAAGATTATTTTTTTTAAAAAAATATTTATTCCACTGGCTCCAACTCTTTGTCCTTGTGCTGTAGTTCTTGTGATTTTCATATCCTTGCAATTTATATCCTATTACGCATGGCTTAACTTTAAGTGAATGTAGATTTAAATGGCATCCACATAACACCACAATAATACGTTATTTAGACAACTTACGGCTGGACTTAATGCTCACCTTTTGATGATTCTGATTTAGATGTATTTTAATTAGCTTTGTTTTTGATGTGGTCTTGATTGTAGATTACTTTGATGGGGAACAACTGTTTGAAATACCTTTTAATACCTTTCTGGGTGAAATCGCTGTAATTTCACTCTTTGTAAGTTGCTGGACTTCATACTGACTCCAATCCTTTCTTGTAGGAAAGGCTCCAGATGTGCTTGATAGATAGAGTTAATAGGTAGATTAGCCACTAAGGTAGTAGTTTCAGAATACTAACAGCTGGCTGATTGCAGAGTATAAATCCCTTCCATTCCCCACCAGTTAGTTGGAACGGAAGAAGCTTCTTGGCTGAGAAGTGAAATGTCTTTAAAAAAAAATCACAAAAGCCCAGTGGCCTTGAAAATGAAAGCATTTTTGGGACAACCATGACCTGGATGAATGAGACGTTATGCAGAACCGTCTTTCATAGTAATGGATTAAATGTAATCTGTTTCATCAGGAGTATATATACTAATAGGTGAGAATGAAGGTTGAGTTGGTTTTAAGGGTTCTGCCTCATTCGACTAGGATTGTGTTATCTATAAAATCTAAAAACTTGGCCAGAAATCCAGATTGTAATAAATATACATTTATTGAATCTTTTGGGGTAGAGTCCGTTTGAGGGCTTATCAGAATCTTGGACAGCATCCAGCAGGAGATGCTAAAGTAGTCCTCAACTTACGACCACAAGTGAGCCCAAAACTTCTGTTGCTAAGCAGGACAGTTGTTCAGCGAGTTTTGCTTCATTTTATAACCTTCCTTGCTGCAGTTGCTCACTGAATCCTCTGCAGTTGTTACCTTAGTAGCACCGTTGTTAAGTGAATCGGGCTTTCCCCTTGGACTTTTGCTTGTCAGAAGGCCGCAAAAGGAGATCACATGACCCTAGGACACGTTAACCGTCATAAATACGAGTCAGTTGCCAAGTGTCTGAATTTTGATCACGTGACCACGGGGCGGCTGCAGTGGTCGGAAGTATGAAGAACATTTTTTTTCAGTGCCGTTGTGATTTTTGAACGGTCACTTACAACGAGTTGTAAGTTGGGGACTATCTGTAGAGAGCGTCTGGCTAAGTAGTATAAATAAATGCCTCTGTGGACAAGGTGGAGAAATAGAAGTCTTACTCACCTCTTTGGTGTTTCTTTTTTTGATCCCTGCATGGACCAAGAATAGAGTTGGGAGTGTGG